TGACATCGTTGAAGAGCGAAATAGTTGCAATAATCGCTTGGAGGTCGGCCTTGCATTGCTGGCTGTGGGATGCCGAAACTACCAGATAGTGAATCATAAAGTCACCTGAAATGAGGTCATGGCTGCGTCGTTGTCGCAGGACCGTCCCCAATGCTAATGTTAGGCGGCAGCCCATCTCTGAGGTGGACATTGGGAACGACAAATAACTGGCGATATGCCTGTTTCATTGCATCTCAGTCGCAGACTGTACCCAGTTATTCTGTTGTCAGCATTTTCTGATCGTCCACTGGTTTGAATTGCAGGTCACTGCGGTAGCAACAATACCCGACCTCCCTTGCTGCGGCGACCGTTTCGATGAGGGGACATACCCAGTATCGCGACTACGGGTTCGGTAACTTCTGAGTGCAGCCAAGTTTCAGTTAAGAATATGAGGCCACAGACATTTAGTGCTTAAGGCAGCTACAGTTTGGCAAGCTCGTGCAGGTGACCTTGAGCGTTGGTATACATGCAGAAGTTAGTCGGGCGCGTGTTTCGAGTGTAATGTTGTACCGCTTGGCAAATGATCGGGTGCTTACCGTTTTTGCGGTGGGAAGATGACGAACTCATCTGGGTCAGACCCAGAGATCCCGCCATAACTTCCTTGCACTTCGCTCTGTATGTAACTTAGGGTGCGTGTTCACCAGTTCGTGGGATAGGTGGGTGAAGTTATCCGAACTTTTGGCGGGAAGTGGTCCCACTAAATGACAGCTCTCGTTTGTTTGCTTAGGGGACGCTGATTTAATCCTGTGCTCTGATAGGAGTCTGCTGCGGCCCGCATGCCAACACTCGAATAGCTTTTTCTGGATTTTCAAGCATCAAGTACACAATTCTCAGGCCACATCCTTTGTAACTTGGCGATCTGCGCAGCCTCGAGATGGATTACACTATGCCGTTTTCAGGGACAGAGTCTCTCGAATGTAGCTCCACACTTCCTGGTCATTAGCGGTCGGTACGCGCTCATCATGACCTCCAGCCTCGGAAACACCGTGTACAGAGATGGTCCTAGCTACGGATGCATACCGGCATTCTTCTAATTCGTGCTTCGCCTGTTTGTGATCGCTTCACGGAATATCTCGGTAGATGCGGATGGAAAATTAACCATTCCAGAGGAAAGCTGTCAAGAACAGTACCGCTTTTGCTTTATCGGCGGGTCAATACAATTCCGAGAGTTCGTGGTTCACCGTAGTTCTCTGAGTTGAGTGACAGGTGACCCGTGTCAAATAGGCGTGCTTAACTACAACACCAATGCTGTCACCCATGAAGTTCCACTGGTTCACAGCATCTAGGTGCTCCTGTTTTAAGGAGTCTGACAGCGATTCTGGAAAGTTGGTGCAGCTTACCGTTGGTTCAATAAGCGGTCTCTTGATGACCGTTTGTTCGACCTGGGTTGTGGTCGAACATACAGACGATCTGCAAACAAGCAGTAAGGGCTGTGTAAGTACAGTTTTCTGTTTCATTGGCTTTGGGTCTAGTGGGAGTAACTGAAGGCCTAAGTTTCTGGTTGCCATTAACAGCAACCATGTTCCAACCACAAAAAGCGTCGAGGTCCATCTGAAATTTCGGAACAATTTCGAGGTTGGACAAAACTCTGACCATATCTATTCCAATCGGACTGGCCGTAGATGTTTCGAGCGTACTTGTGAAACTGGTGGTATTAACTATTAAATCCACAGGTGCCGAAATTTTAATGCGCTGCTCAACGTTAGTCCTCAGTAATGATGCAGGGCCTGATGTGAAGGACTAGGGTTTACAATCTATCGCGCTTCTAATGAAGCGATTTTGGTGTTCTTCATTTGTTCAATCATTGCAAACACTCCTTCGTGTTTTTGTGATAGTTCATGTGCAATCTTTACCAATGGGACACCCACACATACTGCGTAGAATGCAGAGCATCTGTTCTACCATTGTGTATGTTTAACCGGTTGAATGTGAGCTTAGAACAATTTGAATGCAACTTTCCGAGGTAATTTGAACACTGGATTCCTGTTCGTACATTTTTCTGGTATGTTGGAGAGCCACCTACTACTTTATTCTCTACGCCGTAAACTGCACTAGTGATTGGTTGTTAAAACCATTGCGACGATAGTTGCCTTTCAAGTCAGTAGCCGAGCATCTGGGCTGCCTGTTTCTCCTCTGTTTGCTGCATTCGCCGTATTTTCAAAGTTGAAGCATTTGATGAGTCCACCGCTGTCAGCTTGCTTGTTCGCCCGGCAGTCGCTGTGAAATGTAAGCAAAGATAACGAACGATAGCTCGGCACGATGTCATTAGCTACTTCGCTTAACATTCGACAGCTGTTGGTTATCCCTTGCCGTTTAGATCTCGGAGTTGGCTTTCTTTTGGTACCATAACGTTTGTTGTGGCAAGGGATTCGGAAAATTCCGCACTTGTATTTCCTCGGGAGCTGTTCAAATACTGCGATGTGGAGATAAAAGATGACCCACACATGCTATGTCCGAAAGACTGAATGTACTAAACAGCGCGGTGCAACTTGGTCGAATGAGTGTAAGCGCATGTGATTGTGCTGCGAAGTGTGACTGTGGATCCGATTTGGATACGAGACCGGAGAGTTCACGTCCGCTCGGCGCAAGTAATGATGGCGTTCACTCATGGAACCTAATGTTTTAGCGTTAAGCGGGAGTCAGTAGCAAACTGTCCTCAAGAGCTAATATCAATCTGATGATGGTTACCTGCACAGATTTTAAATCCTAACCAGCATCGATGAGTTTGAAAGACATGTATTCCACATGGTTTCTACACATCTGCTACTAAATAGACGGAATACATAATCTCACGAGGTGCAAACGGTTTAAAACGAACTCCGGTCCATCACGTTATCGAAGGCACCAACATCTTGAATGTTACTTGGCAAATCTTCTTTGCAACTCAACACTGGATAATTACGCCATGGAGAAGTAACGGAACGGTGCTGAACAGTAAATGAACTAAGCCGGATGTCTGAAAACGGGAAATATTTATTTGTTTTGTTTTGTTTATCTCAATTAGACTAGATTAGATGGGACGGGCTATGCCGCAGTCAGACTTCAGTTCGCGATGATCGACTATCGTCTGCCATGGCTCATTGGCATAAGCTGCCGGCTAGTGCTGCAAGCCGTCAGCTGTCCTGAGCTTGCTTCCCTTCAGAGAAATGAAGGATGAACACCACTGACAAGCCCAGCTACAGCGAATCGATCGACCGGCATTTCTCCGGACTGGTGGTGAACCAAATAAATAATACCAACTCCGACTCCACATAAGCAATTATAAATATACATTAAATTCTGTTTAGAACCGACCAATAACTTTTGGTTTCAGAAAGGTTTAAAAACAACTGGTAGATATGCAAGTACTGAATCGGTCGCGCAATGCACTGTTGCAAGCGATCAATACCCAGCATTCATCCACTTTAGGTGCAATCCCAGTGGCTTCACTTCACACTTCATTTTGAATCGAGGTCCTGATTGAGGTTACTTCTACCAATCCATTCACATAACGAGTGCATTAAAATGTCTCCCACTTAACCATTGACCCTTGTAGCGGTCATTGCAAGCCGCGAATCGGTAGCTTAGGGGTAATATGTCCGGCCGACATCACAAAAGTCACCGGTTCTATTCGCAGTTCTGCTCTCCATACCTGATGAAGGCAAATGTGCACGAAACTGGTCGTACTGTGCAGTGCACTTGAACTCTAACCAAACGGTACACCTCGTGGGTGACGTTTCATTACAGACGCGAAAGCTTTATAAGGCCATGCGTAACAACGCGAGATTTATATGGTTTTCTAGAAAACTGAGGGTAATTTCAATGACAGATATGGGATAGTAAACCAGTCATTAGACTATGTGTGCTTTTGGTGGCACGTTATGAATGCAAATGTTCAGAGTGCTTTCCGATATGAGGCCGTCGCATGCAAGTCCCTGTTAGTGATGGGTGGGATGGTTTGTTATTCTATCTGTGCTGCGGGTCCTCTCGCTGATACTACTCAGAATGGATGTGGCAATACATCCCCCCTACTAATTCGGTAGCTCCACCTAGTCCATTCACGTAGCCTCAGCATTTGGCTTTTGTAGTGATGATCGCTACCCCCACCAAATGACGTCGACACTAACCTGCCTGATTTTATGTCCTGTGTATAGCGAATGCACCGCTATCCGAAATTTTCTGTAGCGTCCAGTAGTCAAGCTCGTTCCTCGGTAGCCGTAACACAGGTCGCCTGAACTCCTCTGCTCTCGTGCTCAGCTCACTCGCCCGATGTTATTCGGTCAAATTCAGAGTATTCGGTAGGTTTAAGCCCGCAGCACAATTGAAATGTATCTTCATAGTTACTAGGCTTACCGGATGTGTGCACACCGTGGATGTGTGTTGCAGTCAGTGGTGGATGGAGGAGCGCGATGCACATAAGCACGACACAAAGGTCCACTCTGAAGTATCCCACTGCCATGCGTGTTGCAAATGAGTGACGGATAGGACTAGTACACAGAGCGCGGTTCCCCTCATTGGGACAGCAATGCGCATGTGCCCTAATTAACCAGCATTTGGTATTACCGTTGACTAAGTTTGGTTTATATATTTGCTCCATTCAAGCTGTTTAGTGCAGGTAGAATTGGTACAGTACTTCTTGTGTGGTCAGACTGCAGATTACAATATCTAATCATGAGCTCGTAATATGGCAGGGTCAGTTATTCATTGTGAATTGCGGTCAAATCTTCTCACTTCCTTAGGAGTGAAAAGACACTGGTCCCGTTCTCTTACCGTATGGTATAGTAAGCGACGTTGGAGACCAGATATGAAAATATAAAATTTGGAACTATGAAGTGGTAGATAGTTGAAAGTACTAACCACAATGAATGAGTTAGTTCAAAAGAAACTGTTCACTTTTATCTTCAGGGGCTCAAAAAGAAACAGGGAAGCAAAAGCTCGGTCTAAAAAGCATCACGATTAAGCAAGCTGTACTTCAAACTTACCAAGTAGACATGCATCCAGTCCGATCCAGTTGCTACGCAGTACAGAGTGAGGATGCGATTTGCCATCAGAACTGTGTGATTGTCATCCACCTGCATCCCAAGGACAACGTGATCATCTGTAGAGTATCGCATCCATGGTGGTATGCTTACCACAATGTATCCAAATGGATTCCCGCTGTGTTCCGGCTCTTCATCCAACAATAAAGTGCTCGTGCTGTTCATTACACCGTTCCCAGACGAATCAGGCGTTTTTGGAGAGCCGAATAACACGGTTGTTTCCGCTAAAAGTAGCGACAACAATAAACAGACTATTAGTAAAACCTGCGTGCATTTATCTGTGAGCAATGATCAAACAAACCTGTTTGCACTCATATGAGAATACGAAATCACCTAACTTGTATGCATAATACGTCTAGATGGTAAATGTTAAACACCCTCTCCGCCCGATGCTGTTGTGTTGATTGGTTGCGAAAGAACACACACGCTAGGGACCGTTTCGCATGACGACATCCGGTCAAGTAGCTGAGGGTTCGTAGCCATGTCACTTTGACAGCCCTTAGTCATACAAAATATCCAAGCACTTGATGAACAATCTCACTTAGAAGTCATTACACAGCGGAATTTTTCATGACCTGCAGGTGTGCGCAGTCCTCATTCGGTCGGAACCAGAGTAGACCATCTGTGACTCTGCCGTGATCACCCATACAGTGGGAACTGGTTAAGCAGGCAGTTCCCTGATCTTCCCCCATCTAGTACGACTATGGAGGTGAAGATTTATGCTTACCCAGTCAGTCAGCCCATGAAATAAACAAAGTTTGTTTCCCATTGCTAAAAGCAGACAGTCTCGAATGTTAGCTTGACAAGGTACCAAGTGCAACGAAGTAGGCCGAGGTCGAGTGTTCTGCGCAACTGGTTTGCAACCATAAAGTCCCCGGTTCGAATCCGCGTACGGGTAGGCGTCCTCGCGCCATACTCAGCCTGCGCGGGACTGGTCGCGCGGCAGCGAGGCGCCGTTACGGCGTACAGCTGACGCATTATTTATCCATCGGAACGAGACTGGATCTTCAGGTGGTGCGATGGTTTGTGTACCCCTCTGACCCATTGAGCTAAGCTGAGTGGCGCTTTCAAGTGCCTTCAGAGACCCTCATACCAGACAGGTCAGACAGGTCAGACTAACTCAGTCTCGCCAACGTCCCGCTGCCTTGCGGGTAGACTACTTGGCCAAAGGCTCTGGGTGGAGTCCATAAGACAACTGCTTACTTCGGCTTGTGGAACCGAGTAGTCTCACGCCCACTGCCAAAACCATGGACCGTTCATCTGCAATATCGGTCTCAGCTGCTTTTGCTCCTGCCTGTCACTCATCTTCAAACGTCTCCTGTTTATTTGTTGCCAATCACTACAATCCGTCACCGACTGATTCTTGTTTCCGTGATTCTGCTCCGGATGGTTTCGTCGACACCCAGAGAGTTCGCCCAGTCGCATTCCTTCGGCCTCGGTCTTCGTTCCGTCTGGCATGCTTCAGTCTACCTATACTCATGCAGATGAGGCATCAAGCTGGTCTTACGCGTACCCTGGTATCCTTCGCCATCGAGGTTTGCTGTCTTTCCGGAACGCGCTTACAAGATCCCATTACTATGATTGAGTTGAAATCTCACACCGACCATGGAGTCATGTTTCACCTACATCTATCTGGTGAAGCAGAACTAGCTGCGACAGGCTTGACTGGTGTTGGTGTAGCGCTAAGTTGTAAAGCCAAAGCCGCACTGCTGGACTGATTCCCGATTAAGAGCCGACTGTGTGCAATTCGGCTTCGGGGATCATGCAAGCTAAACAGATGTCGGGAGGAGGAACGCAACTTGTTTGTGATCTCAGCTTACGCTCCAACCGACTGTAGTTCCGACATTGTGAAACACGATTTCCACCGTGAACTTCCTCACGTCTTGAGCAGAGCCTGCAAATCCGACATTGTTGTCCTTACAGGGAATCTCAACACACGAGTCGGTCGTCTGCTGGCATGCGAATGTCACCTCGGTGGTCACCATGCGCTCAATGAGAGTCGCACAGATAATGGTGAGAGACTTCTCACACTGTACGAAGATAATCATGTTTCTGTCGAGCACCAGCTTTCGGCATTCGATGAGATGTTCCGCTATCTGGCGACCATATTCCTCATCTCAATCATGGTCTCTTATTGACCATATCGCAATCAATTATGCATGAAGGGGTAGTGTAAAGGATTGCAGTTATATCTGGTCCACTTTTCTTGACTCAGACCACACTCTTGTCTGTACGAACATCTGCATGATTTATGGGGGTCCCCGAAAGTGTAGCACTGCAAGGCAGGCACAAATAAACTATCTACTGTTCCGGCTGTGCTGTGCTATCAAGCTTCACCTGCTGGTGCACTCGGCTGCGACCTACCGTAAAATATTGATGAAGACTGGACGTGCATGCAGAGGACCATGATCTCTTACGGGCAGCAACTCTGTGGTCTTAGCACCCATAAAGGTCTGAATCTCCACACACTCTTGGATCTGTTTGACCGTCGCAGGAATATCCCAGCGGAGTCTAATGATAAAGAAGCGTGCCATTCTGTAAGTCAGCAGCTCAGACAAAGTCTATTTAGTGAACTTGAAGCCCTGTGGTCCTAGCGTGCTTCGGAAATGGGGGCCGCTGCCCACTCTGTCAATACTCGCAAGCTCTTCCAGCTCCTTCGTTCTACTGGCCACAGAAAACCTGATGTCATTGAGACTGTATGCGAGGTGGATGGTTCGCCGATTGCCAACTTACAGATACCCTTGGACCGATGGGCCAGTTCAATTGGCCCACATCGTCCACTTATATACCCTGCGAATCCAGCTGCCAGCTCCGGGTCGTCCCATTTGATTCACCCAGCGAAGCGGAAGTCTGTCTTGCGACTCGAGAACAAAGACGATTCAAGGCTGCCGGTTGTGACCGACTTCCTCCAGAACTGATCAAACATGGAGGCGCAGTTATCATTAGACAGCTAACCATAATGTTCTACAAAATCTGGCATGAAGAAATGGTGCCTTCTTCCTGGCGCGAGTCACTTGTTGTCCCGATTTTTAAGAAGGGTGCTCGCACTACGTGTACCAATCACCGGGGTATTAGTCTCACTTCGCTTGCCTCCAAGATATTGGCATACATTCTACTTCGTAGACTATTTCCCATTCGCGAATTGCAGTACCGGGAAGAACAAGCTCGCTTCAGACCTGACCGAGGGTATGTGGATCAGATATTCACCCTCCAAGAAATCCTGGAACACCACCACCTTTACCAGAGGCCCACCATCGTTGCATTCCTGGACATCGTTGCCGCATTCGACTCGGTTGATCGACCTGCACTGTGGCATTGTTTGCTAAGGAACGATGTCCCAGAAAAGTGCACTGCCATCCTACGCGCACTGTATTTCCACATCTCTGGCAGAGTGGGGGTGTATGACAGGCTTTCATCGTCCTTCGCTGTTAATAGCGGTGGACGACAAGGCTGCCCTGTGTCCCCGTTTCTCTTCAAGTTAGCGAATGAACAAGTTCTGTTGAGAGCTCTAAACAGTTTCCAAAATTTGGGTATACATCTGTTGCCTGGCAAGCGAGCAACAGATTTAGATTATGCTGATGATATCGCCTTACTTGGTGAGGACTCACAGAGCATGCAAACGATTCTAGACCGTTTGGCGACAGAGGCATCTGGGCACGGAATGTGTTTCGCCCCAGTACAGTGTAAAGTGCTGCATCAGCATTGGCACTCAACCGTTGCCGTACTCAATCTCGTAGGTACACCACTATAACAAGTGGACAGCTTTATCTAATTTGGCAGCTGTGTGCCTGCCAGTAGTACAATTGCAGGGGCAGCTTTTCTTCTCATTGTCAAGCTCGGTCGTCGTGTGTCAATCTGTAGCACTTGTGGCGTCGTCAGGATATCTCCCCCTTGGTAAAGGGCCGTGTTGACAATGTCACCGTTCGCGCGGTGTTGCTATAGAGAAGCGAGTCATGGCCAGTTCGGCTAGACTATATGCGCTGGCTCTCGGCCTTCGACAACGGGTGCTTGAGGAGAATTGCTCCTGTGTGGTTGCAACAGCACATTTGCAACAGTGAAGTCAGACGTCGTGTCTTAGGGAATGCGAGTATTCCTTTCAGCAAGCTGGTTTTGCTGTGCCAGTTAAGAGGGCTCTGTCATGTCCTGCGTTTGTCAGCAGAACATTTGCGCTATCGCGCTCTGGTTTCTCGTGCAGGACTCAAGTGGAAGAGATCACGCGGATGTCCACAAATTACCTGGGGACAACAACTGAAATTGTTGACTTCACCTCTTGCCAATATTGGATCCACACGTCTGCCTGGTTGGGGACCAAAGGACGAGGAGTGCCGATGGCTGGAAGCAATTAAGGGTATGGCTCGTAATCGAAACCACTGGATGATATGTGTAAATAATGGTTAAGGTTTGGCTACGTACTGTTTACCGAGTAAAAACGACAAAGCAGTTAAAAGAAAGCTGCGTGCAAAATGACCAAAACAAGCTCCGTTATTTTTTAAATTGCAACACAATAGCTGAAGTGTGTTGTTCACCTACAGTTAAGGTGCCATGGGGATGATAAGGTGTACAACCTGTCTTCTTTTATTGATTTCCGTGGTTATGTTTGGCTCTATGCCCGTTTGATAGACTGCTGCTTATACTAATACTAATGATACTACTACTACTACCACCACTAATAATAATAATAATAATACGAATACTACTATTGCTACTACCACTACTACTACTACTAATAGGGTCTACTATTACTAAAGCACAATAGCAGGTTGGGGATGGTTGAATCGTTCCTGTTGAAGGAACAGATTTGTTGAGCTTCATCCGATCGAGCGAAATGTGAAATTATTAGAAGTTGAATGGAAGTTAATCGCTAACCAAGTTCAACTGCAGTCCTGGCGGTGGAAACATATTTGCTTGCAACTGCCGTACAAAGGGAAACGCTGGCGGTACTTCCATCCCGAAGGAATTCACATGTACTCATTAATGCAGTCACAGCGGTGAGGATGCAAATCCAATTCATCAGCAACTCAATGGTGAGACCAAACCTCAAGGATAAGCTACCTGTCCACTGCAAATCAGTGCGTGTTTACTCGTTCACCTGTTCCTGTGGAGCACGGTAACTTGGACATAACACCAAATTCTAAGCTGAAATTGACGAAAGAACATCGTCCGGCTTGCCTCAGAAATGGAGGTCGAATAGTCTGTTATCGCAGTGCATCTTACGGAGAGGAGT